GCCAAATTAGGTTTCTTTCTTATGGGCCTAATGAGTGTCTCCTTGAGGGCAGAGGGAAACCTGCCCTCAAGGAAAGAACCATTTATTATTGCAGTGGCCCATTCTGTTGTTATCGGCCTGGCTGCTTTGATTAGCCAAGCCGGGCAAGGGTCCAAGGAGGAGGTGATGGCTCGACAGCTACAGAATCACTTTGGCCACAGAATCAGGCGTGACAGGCTGAAAGGAGTCAAGGGATACCGATCAAAGTTAGTCAAGAGATGGCAAAATAAAATGTTTAAGAGCAAAAGAATGTTAAGTGCAATTATTCATTCTCAGTGAAATATTGATTCAGTAGACTGTTAAAATATAGATGGAGGAACTTTAAATTTGTAAAAGAATAGGAGACAATTTCATTCTAGTGTACAATGCCCAAGGTGTTTGTGGATAAACAGTAAAACAGTAACCACACCATGTACTTCCAGGGGAGGGGGTTAATAGTTAAAATATTCTTTGAAATGAGGGATATATAGATTCCCCCCCCCATTGACCTAACACACCTAGAGATTAAACTATTTACAAACTGTCAGTCATGATGCTGGCATGAAACATTTTGTTTTTGCACTTGCACAAAAGGGATTGAGCTGACAGTTCTGCCGCATATACGAAGGAGGAATACAGCCAAGTCCTTCACAGCTGGATTTACTCTACTGCACTAAATGAACTGCAGGCATTTGCCAGTGAAATGTGCCTCTGACTCAGGAAAAAGCATGAATGTTCACCCTTTCACAAAAAGAAAATAAACCACACTTCCATAAGGCAATTAAAGATTTAAAAATATGTGCAGCATCACAAATACTAGTAAAAATAAATCATATTTCTCATTTAAATATAAGAAGCTGTTATATAGATTTTGTATTTTCTTAAAGAACAGGAAAGACTGTCATCAGCCAAATGAGCTACTTGGTCAGAATTTTCCTCTGAAGAGCACATGGAATGTTTATGACCTAGTTCTTCTCAACAACACTCACTACAGTACCTATCATTCTACAGAACATAGAAGTTAAGGCCACGTAGATCTGACATAAGATCAACTGAACGATGTAGGTCTTGCTTCTGATTACACCGTAAGAGTGATATAACAATGGATTTTGTCAGTCTTCAACTGTATAGTTTGATATATGGCTGCAGAGGTCACAAGTCTGAAACTATTTGGAGAAGTTTGGATCCCAGATTCATTAGCCCACACTACAGTGTTGCAATTTTGTTCAGGATTTATTATACCAGGAAACAAGTAATAGTCAACTTTTGAACCAAGGCCAAACATAAAACCTATTATGTCAGCACTGCAGAACACTATGGAATAACTAATTCTAACAGTACTTTTCCTGCCTGCATTTCCAAGTCAATTTGCCGATAAAAAGGCAAAAGATAAACATCTTTAATATCAAGTGAAAGCCTAAAAAAGGGTTCAGATGCAATTCTTTCCAGTCTGGATACTTTCCCACCAAATATACAAAGCACAATCAATTCTATGCATGCCTACTCAGTAGTTAACACCAATACAATAGTTCCCTAGACTGCAAAGCACCGTTTAATATGATTTATGTTATTTAAGAGAAGAATATTTACACTTGGAATGCTTTTATGTAGGAATAAAGATGAATGGCAAACTTGCTCAACCAACTTCAGCTCATGGGAAGTTACTTATCCCTGATTTAGCATTTTATCCAAACTAGTGGTCCTAGCTTATAGCCCTCAAGACACTGTTGGCTCGAAAGGCAAACCCTTGATTGCAATTCTGGCATTGAATGGAACAAAACACTAGGATCAGATAACACTGTAAACCAATTGTTCTTGGTTTGTTTAGCAGTCACACTAAAGTGAGAACAAAGCAGGAGGTACATCATTTACAGTGTTCCCTAGTCACACTGGCCATGTGACAACGGAAAACTGTCTTCTGACAGGCGCTGGCTCTATGGCTTGAAAAGCGGGATGAGCGCCGCCCTCTAAAGTCGGACACGACTGGATTGAAAATGTCAAGGGGAACCTTTACCTTTTTACATCATTTACAATTAAACAAGAGTTCTTTAGAATCCTGGTGTTTTGTTCCATAGGTGTATAGCTTTTCTTTCAGACACCTTGTTTAGGAGATGTCATGAAGAATGCATTCTGATAGGAACTCTGTGGGATAGGGCAAATGAAACCACTTAACATATGGGACAGCAGTGTCACAGTTCACATCCACTGGTGAACTGAAATCTGAAGTCAGGTCTGTTCAATCCAGGGTGGATAAAAATCAGTGTTTTTTAACATCATATTTAAATCAATATTTAAATGTACAGTAGTCTCATTTTCAATACTTTTCACAGCAGCAGATGAAGAACAGCTCTCTTTCCAAACAGACTTGATTATTAATGAAAATTCAAAATATTTGTGTTAAACTGTAACACCCTTAATAGTATGGGATCTCATTACCTGTTGGAGCATCTCTTTTTAAGTTCTACCTGTGCCATCCAGACTTTGCTGTTGTGGGTCGCTACCTCAAGGAGGCTTGAAAAGCAACCCCGAGGAACTGGGCCTTACTGGTGGTGGCTGAAACGCTTGCCTTTGAATGCACACCAGATACCCTCCTCCTGACCTTTAGGAAGCTGACTAAAATTCAGCTTTTCAGAGAGGTCCTTTAAGAACATCCTCCCCCTGTGATACTTTTGTTGACCATTATCTCTAAGTATTTTTGTTTAGCTGCTGCCTTGGGGCAGGAGTTCTTTGTTGTAAACAGTTTATTATTTCAGGTCAAGATCTCTAGTCATGGAGCTTTTAACTGTTGTAAACTACCCACACTAGTGGGCTTGCCAGTAGATGGACAATCAATCAATCAATCAATCAATCAATCAATCATCAATAAGCAGTTTATTATTTCAGGTCAAGATCTCTAGTCATGGAGCTTTTAACTGTTGTAAACTACCCACACTAGTGGGCTTGCCAGTAGATGGACAATCCATCCATCAATCAATGTCCCAAATATAGAATGTCAAGGGGAACATATAGGTAATATTTCTAAACCAGAAAGCCAATCAACTTTAAACTTTTACTTTAAAAAAAACAGTTTGCTTTGTCATTATAATAAAAAGTTTAGATTCAGCATGTTGCCATGATATATATTCCCACAACTCATCAACATGCTAAATAGCAGAGCAGCCATCTGATACAAGAACACTGTTCTCCTTTAACCATATGTTTTCAGAAATAAGGTCAATGGCAGTTACACCCAGGTAAGAGGGTATAGTATTATTTTATTTATTTTCATTTTTATGTTTAAATTTCTCTGTAGTATATTGTTTAAAATCAACCAGAATTATCCGCTGTGTTCAACTCTAGTCCATCTGTTCTATGACATAGCCATAGACAATTTTAGAAGACAATTTAGGGGTTTGAATCTCTAGGTCCTCCCACCCACACTCACAGTGCAAGTTTCTCTCTCTCTCTCTCTCTCTCCAATAGAAATTTAAAACTTAATATAAAACAATGGAGGTGAGTGGATGTCATGTTCTGTTTTGTTTGGCACAGCAACAGAACTTGCACAGCCCTACAATAAGAAAGATGGGAGTTGGAGAGATTAGTTATTTCCAATGCTGTTAAAGAAATACAAGCACACAGCACACCTACACGTTTAAAGATAAACACAGAACTCAAACAACACGCAAAAACTGCTGGGGGGGGCGTCATCAACACAGGGAAGCCCCAAATCTGAAAGCCATTTGTCTAAGGGGAATTATTTTGATTTCTGAGGAAAGGTACTCTGTACATGGTTAGAAATCCCAATCTCACCAGTGTTTCCCACATGTTGCTTTCTCGTTAGAACATAGTCCTGGCACTGAGGGTAGGCTTGAGGGGCCATCACTGAAGACCTTTGGCGCTGGCTCAAGTTCCAAGCCATGGACCTACCTAATAAATACAAATTATTCTATCCCTAACTCAGGCGACTAACAGGATCGGGAACTTAAATGTTTTTCAGCAGGCGAGGTAAAGACGGCCAGAAGCTGAGGTCGCCTGCAACGTTACTTCTCTTTTGGACAGCACAGAATAGGCATCCATCCCTTCACACCTTGGAAGCCTAACAGGTGCTTACGAAATACAAAATCCTTCCCTTCTGCACGTCCGCGACGAGGGAAGGACCCTATTTGTTTGGGAGCGTCCCCCCCCCAAAAAAAACCATGGGGTGCAGGCTGGAGGGAGAAGAGAGAGAGAGAGAGTCCCGAGCGACCTACCTGGAGGACTCTCCGCTGAAGCTGCCCCCGTCCAGGAGCCGCACCTTGCAGAAGAGGATCCCGTTGACGAAGGGGACAGAGGAGAGCTCGTCCAGCTCCAGCTC